CGTGCGCCAGAAGATCTTTGGTGAGATTCATGCCGACATCGCCCAGAGCTTCAACTCGCGTACGTGCTCCGCCCCGCCACCTCACCTGCGACTCGGCGCCCGCACCACCAGCTGACACGCACGCGTCTTGCGCCGATGCCAGTGGGCTGCCTCAACCAGGACATGGGTCGCTTCAAGGAGGCCGAGGACTATCTCCTTCGCGCCATCTCAATGAGGGAGACCCTGTGCGGGCCAAACCACCCCGATGGTACCGCAGTTCGTGTGCCGTGTGTGTGTGTGTGTGTGTGTGTGTGTGTGTGTGTGTGTGTGTGTGTGTGTGTGTGTGTGTGTGTGTGTGTGGCCGTGCGTGTCATGTGTGCGGTGTCCATAACTCAACATGTGGCATTTGTATGCACGTTTTAGTGGCGATGTCGCTGGCCAATCTTGGTGGCCTGTACATGGATCAGTCGCGCTACGACGAAGCCCACCCGCACTACGCCCGCACCCTCAACATCTACGAGAGCGTCTACGGCCCGGTCCATCCGTCCGTTGCTCAGTACGTAGTTGCAGACCGCGTTGTGACATAGTCGTGACACAGCACTCACTCGAACATGTTGTTGCACGCTGTCGATGACAGGACCTTCAACTCGATGGCGGGCTTGGCGCAGGAGGCCGGCAAATATGAGGAGGCGGAGGCCCTGTACACCAAGACCCTGGCCATCCGCGAGCGTCTGCTGGGCGACTCGCACCCGGAGCTTGCCCTCACCCTCAACGATTTCGCCGTACGACACGACACGACACCACACGCATGATACCACACGACACCACACGACACGACGCAAAAACAACACACGGCTGATGCGCGGTGGTCGTGTGTGGGTGTCGACAGGTGTTGTACGCGAGGCAGGACAAGTACGACATGGCCGAACCGCTCTACCAGCGCGCGTTGAGCATCCGCGAGCGGGTCATCGGCGTGCACCACCCGGATTACGCCCAGTCCCTCAAGTAACTTCCATTTTACACAAACACACGCAGCACACACAGCACGCCGTGCGCGATGATTGAAGTGTTCTGCCGGCTCGGGCTAGAGCTTTTCAAGACTCACTGGCTCTCTTTCTCCGTCATCTGCAGCAACATTGGCTCCCTGTACCAGGACATGGGCCAGTACACCCGCGCGCTGCCGCTCTTCGAGCAGGCCCTCAAGATCTGCGAGGCCGCCTTTGGACCTCGCCACATGGACGTTGCCAGTACGTACTGCGTGTCGTGTGTCTTGTGTGCCGCGTGCCGACGTGCCGGCGTGGTGCTCACCTCAATTCGCCATGGCAGGCTCGTTGACGAACATCGCGGGCTGCTACCAGTTCCTCCGTCGGTACGACGAAGCGATCCCGCTCTACCGCCGAGCGCTGGAGATCTACGAGGACCTGCTGGGGCCGATCCACGCCGACGTGGCGGTGACTACCAACGATTTGGCCGTCCTCTACTTCACCACGGGCAACACCGACCAGGCCGAGAAGCTCTACAAGAAGGCCCTCCACGTCTACGAGAAGATCTTCGGCCCTCACCACCCGGACGTCGGCCAGGTACGCCAACTCGCCTTTTTGTCTTTCGCTTCTGTGCACTTGACACACCCCGCACGCCGCCAATGGCACGACACGCG